TGTCGGATGTCGCGATCCTAGCGGTTGGTCGGAAGAGGTCCGCCAAAAAGTACTAGCGAGGGCTATGGTCGCTGTAGTCGCGAAGTCCCAACTCGTGGCTGCTGAAGCTTTGGCGGTCTGTCAAGCGAATGCAACCCGTAGAAGAAGTCTGCGCATTCATCTCCGCTGCTGCGTCACCACCAGGATCACAACATGCCAGAGCATGACACATTCGTGGCGTCGTCAGGAGGAAATAGAGGGACCACGTTTGAAGACGCCGTAAAGACACCAGTCGCGTCCTAGAGGAGATTCCTTATCCAGACCTAGAGGAGATTCCTTATAATGAATTACAGACTGCTGAGTGTCGCCATTGATGGTACAATTGACGGCGCGTATGCCCGAATTTGTGGGGAACGTCCTCTTTTTGGCCGATTTTGACGTCTGAGGCAACCTTTGGAGAGCGATAACTAAATAAATTCTGGGCCGCTTCAAAAGCACTCGGGCATACGCGTCATACACCTAGAGGAGATTCCTTATAATGAATTACAGACTGCTGAGTGTCGCCATTGATGGTACAATGGACGGCGCGTATGCCCAAATTTGTGGGAAACGCCCCTTTTTTGGCCGATTTTGACGGTTGAGGCAAGCTTTGCAGAGTGATAACTAAATAAATTCTGGGCCGCTTCAAAAGCTCTCGGGCATATGCGTCGCAGAACTGGAGGAGATGCATTATTATGGCTTATAGAGTACTGAGTGTCGCCATTGATGGTACAATTGGCGGCGCGTATGTCCAAATTTCTGGAACACACCCCTTTTTTGCCTGATTTTGACGTCTGAGGTTGTGATGACTTAAGAGATACTGGGCCGTTTCAAAAGCTCTTGGGCGCACGCGAAGCAAACCTACATAAGATTGATTAATTAGCAGTAACAGCGTGCTAAATGTCGCCATAAATGGTACTCTTCATGTCCCGTTCGCCAAAGTGTCTGGACCACGCCCACTCATTTTGGCATTTTTATTTTTACTACCATTCTTGGAAGTGGAATAGCTGGTGAAATGAAATTTGGACACTTTGTAAAAGATAGTTCGGATCAAAAAACGCTTTGACTCCTTAATTATTCAGCGCTTCAAGTATAATGTATTTGAGCTAATTACGCGATAAGAACAAAAAACAAAAACAAAAAAAAAAACCTGCATTTAGGTTTTGTGTTTATCAATTAAGAAAATATTCAGTGTAGTTGCCGTTTTGTTATACATTACATATGTTGCTAAAAAAATGTATTTAGGAACACAACAACGTCACTGAATCCTCGAGTCTCCTCACCAACTGCGGATTCTTTTTGGTATTTAAAGCCCTGGGGAACCACATTAAATTTAAGTAATTTGAAAATAAAAACTGTTTCCATGGAGCTAGAGACATTGGCTATATATATAGCAAAATGCAACTAAATTGATCGTGTGGTTTTCTTAGGGTTTGCATCGAATGTTGAAAAGACGTATGATTTTTCTGCGGTTCGCCATAGGAACCAATGAGTAAAAGTTTGGTTGCATTTTGGCCAGACTTAATATAAACCCAGGACCACGAAAATTATCGTGGAGGTTGAGGGCAACGTATTAAAACGTGACACAAAAGTGCAAAGGCATTGAGTGATTAGTTTTCTTTGTATAAAAAAAGATCGCTTTGGTCCATTGAGTTACGGGCGCCGGCGCAGCGGCGGCCGATAGATGGCGTAAGTAGTAACGGCGCTCGCCTGTCCGAGAATCTTGGGGTTGCGTGTTTCAGGTAGGGCTAGGCAAAGGTACTCAAAAAAATATTTGAGAATATAAACACCGAGTAAGGTACATGTATGTTAGGGTCAAAATAAGGTTACGAGGGGGGACCCAAAAGCAACTGGAATGAATTTGTGGAGGAGAGGCCGTTCGCAGTACCAACTTCCGCCGCTAGCAGCGCTTAGCGGCATCCCTTCCGAGTCAGTTTGCCGACAGGCGTCGTCTCCTAAAGTTGTAGCGGCATGTTGTGAATTTTTTCCCCAAGCACTTAAAAATCATTCCTCGTTTTTTTTTTTTTTTTTTTTTTTTTTTTTTTTTTTCAATGTTTGATTTAAAGGGACGGCGTGCGGCCGTGAAATTGTTTATTTAAAAAAAAAACGGCGGCGGAAACTTTTGTAACTCTTCAGGCAGCTTACAAAAAAGATGCTATGAAGAAATTGCAGGTTTACGGGCCGTATTCTTGCTTCAAGGCCGGTGAAGAGATGATCGACAACCAACCTCGTTCAGGGCGACCCTCAAGCTCCTCTACTGATAGAAACATCGAGAAAGCTCGGACAGTGTTCACTGCGAGTTTGTTCGTCCTGGTGAAACCGTTAATCGGTGTTTAAAGGGACCGTGAAGGCAATTTGATTTTTTTAAAAAAGAAGGTGTTTTCGGAAGCATTGGGGTCCTGGCATGCCACACAATTTTTTCTAGAACGTTGTGACTCTTATTTCTGTACCTGCAAATAAATTTGCGAAACCGAAACAAACATTCAGATTTCTTCCCTTTTTCGCCTCTGGAAAGACTAGTGACGTCAGGGAGCACTGTCGGCATCGGTAGGATTTAGTGAATACTCAATGTGGTTCCCGTGGTTCGCTCTAGTGCACGGCGGTCTGTGAAGAAAACCTGGAAGAAATGGACGACAACGCCGCGCTCGCAAACGAGTTTGAGCTCCCGTTCAGCGACCTCACGCCGACTGAACGGGAGATGCTGCTAAGGACGCGGAACTAACGACGAACAAATCCTGACACCGCTGTCCACAGCTCTACGCAAGACGACAGCGCGCAACCAAATGCTGCGCATTGCTGCATCGGTCGGCAGTTTATGCAAACTAACGTCACCCGATCGACCGCACGTCTTTAGCCGACCTTTCTGCACATAAACGCGGCATGATTGGTGAGACACCAGTTCGCAAAGCGAACACGAGACGACGTACGAAACCAAAACCAAAAGTCCGCCGCCCCCGGCGCTCGTACCTTTTTCTTTTCTTTTTGTCCATGGTTGCTCGATGCTTTTTACGCGCCCGAGGTAGCAGCAGTAGCAGTGCGGGATGCGTTCAACCAGTGACAAACGGAGGGATCGCTTCCGATTATGCATTTATACACGGTATGAAACCTATTATTTCCCAACTACAACTTCAAAAGATTATCCAACGTTCAAATAAAAATTTTTCATCACATCTCTCCACCGAAATCGAAACCAAGAGCGCGTCTATCGTTTGAACCAATCGCCAGACGAGGTGCCCGTTGTCGTCACGCTTCGGCGCACTTTAGTTCACCTGTCTGCCGCCGACTCGGTGGGGTCTCAAGCATCGTTCCCGGCGCTATTATTACCGCGCCGCTCGATTGGTGCGGCACCCAAACTTCTGTTCGGGCTAGAACTTGGTCAACAGTATCTGAGACGTGCCTGACATCCATTTCAATCGTCGAATAAAACTTCGAAACTGCCTCCATGGTCCCTTTAACCTGGTAGTTTTGCGACGCTTGCGTAACTCAGTGAGGCAGAAACGCCCCAACTTGTGAAAATGGGGGGGGGGGGGGGGGGGGGGGGGGGGGGGGGGGGGGGAACTGGTGGTTCCATCACGATGATGCCACAGCACACATTGCCTTGTCAGTGAAATGATTTTAGAGCAAAAATGGCATGAGACCGCTTTTGCACTTCGCTATTCAAAAAAAGTCTTGAAAGGAAAATATTTTGTGGATGTGGAAAGTCCTTGAAATCAGACATTACAAAAAAAAAAAGGGGGGGGGGGGAATGATTTTAAAGCATTTGAAAAAAAAATTCACAACGTGCCGCTAAACTGACTTGGAAGGGGTACCGCGAAGTTCTGCTAGCGGCGGCAGCTGGTACTATGAATTTTGCAGAAATTCATCACGGCTACTTTTGTGTCTCGCCTCGTGTTGAGATACGTTAGTCTTTTATGTAATAGGACAGGGGTGGCCAAGCTGCGGCTCTTCGCGTGTGAAAGTGCGGCTCCCGGCTCCCTCCCTCCTCCCCCCCCCCCCCCCCCACCCCCCTCCCGCGCACTTCCCCAAAAAGAGAAGTGGAACGCGTTTTAAATCGAAAGGCAGCTTGCGGTTTGGTAGTCTTGTGCTACTGCTACATTACGTACAGTTGGACTGCTTTTGGCTTGGAAAGATTTAAAGTAGTGCGAGTTTCATTTATCGCTCTAGACAAAAGTTTGCCCCCCCCCCCCCCCCCCCCCCCCCCCGCGGCTCTTGGAAGTTCCCTGTAGTACGATATAAAAAAAAAGTATCCCGATTTGCAGATATAGGTACATATAGAAATATCCTTTTCCCTAACTTGTGTGATTGCGGAGTGTTGTGAAAGGCCCCGAGACGATTTTCGCCCTGCAGTTCGACCGCCACAGGTACACGGCCTTGAGCGTCGTCACCAGGTGGTTCTGGTGAGCTGTGCCCGGAAGCAAAGCGAGAGGCGCCATGTGGTCGCTAACGTGCCCTCGTACAAAAGGTCGACCTGGCCTACAACGAGGGATTATAGAGTTGACCGACGCCAGTGTCAACCCGAGACGTCATTACCAACTGGCCCCTCTCCTGCTGATTCTGTCTGGCTCCGACGCACGGCGCCCCGACGGCATTGGGACGCTCTTGGACAAAGGAGTGGGCGTTGCGCCCTAATCCCAGCTTGGAGCGTTTATGGGATTACTTCCCTACTGCACGGAAGCCAAGAAGCCTGCACTTGGGAGAATTAACTCTCTTCCTCTATTCAGACTTCGATGGCACCGTGGAACGCCCGAAATTGACCGGCGAAACCGTGACCAAGGACGCCTGGCCCATCGGTGTGCGTGACGCGAGTGGCGGTGTGTGGAAGAGAGGGGAGGGTCGGGATTATAATGCAATTCAATGCAAAGGTGCAAGCGAGTTGGACAAGAGTGACGAAAATAATCCCTGGAGAAGGGGAACAAGAGGGACAAAGGACAAACACAAATCTCCAAACACAGCTAGGTGACTGCTGCGCGACCGAAAAAATCCGCCTGGTCCGGGTATCGAATATCGAACCCGGGACCTCTCCATTACTGGTGGAGCGCTCTACCAACTGAGGTAACCAGGGGTTAGACGTCAGTAGAGCAAACGAGTTTTATCAGCTGCCACCAGTCTTACACCAACAAGGATGATGCTTGCAATTTAAGGTTATGGTTATAATGCAATTAAATGCAAAGGTGCAAGGGAGCTGGACAATAATGACGAACATAATCCCCGGAGAAGGGGAACAAGACGGACATTAGAATGTCATTCTTAATGGCATTAGGACCTGGACGTTAGGAACAATGGCCCCACCGCTTTGGTCGAGGCATTGACCATGAAGATTCCCTGCAGGAGATAGGGGTAAATGCGACGCTATAAAAGGACCAACAGGCGGCTGCCAGCGTGTACTCCAAAGTTAAACCCGCTAATATGTAAATAAACACAGTTCTACCTGACAGCCCTCCTGCTCCCTGGACCTTCCCGATTCCTGGGTCCTGATAAGCACTCTACCTAGGGTGACCAAACGTCCCGTTTTGGCCGGGACAGTCCCGTTTTTGAGGTCCACTTCTGCCGTCCCGTATTTTTCTCCCAATATAGAATCGTGCCCCGTTTTCGCGGGAGTACACAGTTTCTAAATTGGCACCAGGCGATTAGAAGCAAACCGAAACTATGCCTATTCGTTACAAGTAGATTTTACAAAAATAACCGTAGGTACTTTAAAATATTTACCCAGAAAGTAAAATTTAGAACGGCTCTTGCCCACAAACACTTTTTCTCTCGCGAAGACACGTGTGTAGAAATGTTTTTTTTAGTTACTGGATATAGCACAGATGTAGAATCAATATAGCACGCATGTAGAATTTCAATAAATTTTTTCTCTCAGTTTCAAACTTTAGAACAGATCAAAGCAAAGGTGAAACACGACCTGATATCCTACACATGGCTGCCCGCCCTTATCTCCAAGTCTTTCTTGAGTGGGTCCCCGGACACCAAGGAATCGCAGGGAATGAAAGGGCCCACGCCCTTGTTCGCGCAAACGAGACTCTGAGCAACCTTGAATCCTGGCCCCCAGACTGCAACCCGAAAGAGGAAAGTGCTGCTCATCGCAAGGCTCAGCGACAGCGCCTGAGAGACCAGCTTTTCCCGCCGCACCCTTCCCTCTCCCACCCCTAACCTCACGCGGCGCAAGGGTACATAAGTTCTCCAGGCAGAGGCACTCTCCCTGCCGTGCGACCTCATAACCCACCCCATCATGAACCGCCTCGGAACCTCCCATTGTCAGGTCTATGGCGCCAATCCCGACGTGAGACACATTTGCTGGTCTTGTCCACGCGCCCAACAATCTCCCCACTTTCTCCTTTCAAATCTCCTCCCTCCCCACATGCCCTTTACCCGGGAGAGCTGGCTCGGCTGGCTGGGCCACTCCACCTTCGGACATCCGCCCTGCCCTTTGGCCTCGCCTTGCGCAGCACATCTCCCATGTGCGAGACCCCTTGACTTCAACAACACTCCCCCAAGCTCCAACCTAACCCTCCAAGCCTTCCCGGAAGGCCGCACCCTCTAGTAGCCACTGGCCGGACTTGGGCTGTTTTAATAAAGTTTCTCCCTCTCTCTCGCTCTTTTTATCTCTCCTGATGAGGACCTGCCCTGCCTCGGCTCCCTGCCGTTCTCGAAGTCCCGGACAGCCGCTCGGTCGTGACAGGACGAGTGGAGTTCGTGGCGATTGCGAATGGTAGTGCTTTGTTTTCCTCGCTTTGTTTCAGTTTTTGCACCAAAGCCATGCTTGACGAAAGGCGTCTGCCCAAATTTAGCCGTGTTTTGCAATGACTGCGCGTTCCAAACTGTCGTCAGCGCTTCTGAGTCAACCAGGGTGTGAAAATTAGATAACGGAGCCGGGCTTGTTTGCATTATCTGCGGGGAACCTGTTGCAACATGAGATAAATCTAAATTCCTCACACGATCTCTCTACTGGTATTGGTGGTTTCCTACTCTTCACTCGCCTTTTTCCGAGTGCTCGCTCTGGTGACCTTTCCTCAAACCACCTTTGTACTTTGTTTTCTTATTTTGTTTTTAGCCTGAATTGTGGCGACCGTTTCAATACAACATGGAACCATGCTCCCTCCCCTCTCCCCCTTTTATGCGACGCGTTCATATTAAAAATCCTGCAACCACTCGCCCCAAAAAATAGGTTTTTAGCTCTTCGAAAACCCGTTCGCGCTTATAGCCACGGACAAAAACATAACCTTGTTCTTCCCTTCAAATATTCAGCACCAACTTGACCTACAGTCAGCATTGATCAATGGTATTTTGATACACCGTAATTGTACTCCACTACTAAGATACTATCGCGATACATTTGTATCGCGATACATCCCAGTCCGGGTTCCGGTCATGACAAGGGCGGCGGAAACTCCACGGAGCCTTCTTGAGTCACGAAACGAGCGAGCTACTTCTTGTCGGATTGAGCCACTCCTAATTATTTTCTAATTCGTGGCCTCACGTCGCTACTTGCAGCGAGGTGTTGACTCGTACCATGTGATTCGGCGACGCGTCAAGCTCTGGGCGCGCAATCGGAGATTTCGAGGGCGCCAGAAAATCGTTGTTTCATTTCTTTATGCGCATAGTTTAATTGTGCCGCTGGATTGACACGATTGCGGGACTGCAATTTCGCACTATACCCATTTTCACCTCAAGAAACATAGTAAAAAAAGTTCGGTGCCTCGCGGACCATTACTAATTTGATTTTTCCCTTTATGTGAATAATTAAGAGATATGTGGGTGAATTTCAGATTAGATATATGTTATCTTATCAAGACGCACACGTTCCAAACACCACAAGCATCGCTTTTTCCTCCGACAACCAAATCTCGTAAGAACTACTTCGCGCCGCGTATGAACAATGCGCCAAACATTCTTTTTTTTTTTTTCCTAGGCAAAAACGGGTATAAAGACTGCAGGTTTTGCAAGGAGTTGGATCACCTAAAAATGACCTTTCGGTGTATATGTACACCTTTGCGCCATCCTTTTTCATTGGTTTGTTTAGTTTTTATCAAAGAGAATCGATAGATAAGGTAAAAGCATCCCCGGTGTCGTACTCAAATGATATCAGCGCTGTTTACGAACAGTATACGAACATTCACTTTCCAGAAGAGAGAATGAATTCGTGAACCAGGAATTTGTGTACTCACGAAGCAGCAATGTTGTGTTCTCCAATAGGCTGTCTGCGCCGCGATGCAGCATGAAGTTTCGCATGAACAGACCTCGAGCACGCACGTTATCTTGGTTCATTATGTAGGTCTCTATGATGCAGTGGGTCGACTACTTTACTCATATTACTACAATTTAACTACTTGAAGTGGTTCAGTATTTTCCAATCACATTTACATATCTGTGATTAAAACATTTTTTTTCCGGTACATAAAATCTAGTACATAAATATCATCATTATCATATTTCAACAGTTGTTAACAGACAGGCGAGGAATCAGCCAGCACTTGGTTGCTCTTGGCTGCCTCGGGTGCACGGACGTTAAACCAATAAGCATTGGCTTTGACTTTTTGTTTTCGTCTTTTTTAAAGGATAACAATTGTTTTAGTTTGTGTTTAGCCGTGCAAGTGTGCAGCCCGATCTTTCCCCCGCGCATTGGTTACCACCTGCTCGGGGCCATAAAACAACCTCTGCGCAAATGCCAGTTCACGGTCATTGATGAGCTAGAAGCAGCTGTCCGGGAGTGGGTGCGATGCACTTTAATAAAATGGTTTCGGCAGAGCATGTAAAAGTTGCCACACAGGTGGTGCAAGAGTATTCGGCTCCATGCCCCACGGAGAGTGTGTCCAGAGGTCTACCGACCTCAAATGAGCAATGTCTAATATATATATATATATATATATATATATATATATATATATATATATATATATATATATATATATATATATATATATATATATATATATATTATAATAAAACAACTAATAAAAGGTAATAGGGTTGGCCACTTGCACCTACAGAAATAAAGCCTGAATTTAGAACATACCCTGTTATAATGGAAAAAAATATTTGACTCAAACCAAAAATTAAACTCGGACCCAACGTTTCAAAACCAGTTCGGTTTCTTCTTCAGGGGCGATTGATCTCGTGCGTGGGAGCAGCCTCGTCTTCTTTGGTGGTACGAATATTTTCTAATCGCGCTTCCGCCTTGCCATCCAGTCTTTTTCTAATCACGTGTCGTAGTCCGCTCACATAAACAGATGGTAAGGTACCCATAGATCTGTTGATATTTCCTGGTGTATTTTGGATGTGCTATGATTCAAGGTGATGTCTTTTTTCGGAGATTGGTTTCAACACCAAGAACGGACGCGTTCGCGAAGTCTATCGGATGGTCAAAGGTGTCACAGTGCTCCGCAAGAGCACTGCTTTCTCGGTCGAATTTGCGTACATCGTTCTTGTGCTGGCGTGACCATTCCATAAAGTTCTTTGTTTCGCCGATATAAGATGCAGGACATTTTAAGCAGGGGATCCGGTAAACAATTCCCGGTGCTTTTTCCTTCTGGGGGCGATCTTTTGGTCTTGGCATGAACCGTCCAAGAGTAGATACCGGTTTGTGAGCCACGTGAATGCCTTGTTTTGCAAGCACCCGTGATAGTGCTTCGCTAGTACCTTGAACGCAGGGAACGCTGATGTGCACGAGATCAATCGCCCCTGAAAAAGAAACCGAACTGGTTTTGAAACGTTGGGTCCGAGTTTAATTTTTGGTTGGAGTCAAATATTTTTCCATTATCACTTCCCAACCAGACAGACGTCTGTCGAAGATGTTTACCTTCATACCCTGTTATTTATCAAAGGGGAAAACTATTCTCTGCCTCACTAAAACTGTGCCGTGTGCGCAAAGGCAGTGCTGGGTGGGGGGAGGGGGGAAAGCACTGGGAAGCCTGGAGAGGAGAAGAGAAACCTCTCCTGCAACGTACCGAATGCTCGCCATTTCTCCCCTCACCCGCCGTTACCCTCCTCTTCCTCCCGGCCTTTCTAATGCTTGCCCTTACTCCACTCGCCCAGCGCTGCCTTTGCGTCCACTACGCGGTTTTAGTGAGACTGAGTATAAGCAAACTTGCCTCGGTTTTGGAATCGGAAATTTCTTTTTCGGCGCTTCTGTAGGCATTTCTTGTTTTGCCCTTCGGATTGGCCCATGCACGTCACCGCGCTGTCAGGGTCGTGTCTTCCCGTTGAAATAGCTCTTTCTTTCCAGTGCTTCGGAGAGCGCGATCTCACGCATAGTGAGTAGCCCCGGCCTCTTCCGGTGCCGTGTCCTGCCTTCCTGTCGCGCGCTGTTTACCTTTCTTCTGTCGAGAGCTTCGATCATCCCGTTTTCTCGCAAGCTCAGCGTCAAGGTCCAATACCACTATAGAAGACAAGGCCTGGGCCTCCCCCTCCCAAACATCATCCCTTGTGGATCCAGCAGCGTCGCCTAGCTCAGCATCGCCGCCAGTTTGTCTTGCGGCGTCTCATAACGAGATGAGCCACAAAAACGGGGACATGCTGCCACGCGTGGAGGTAGCAAGCTTCCGGGGGTGACATGATGCCACCAGAGCTGAAGCCAGAAGTGTGGAGGGACACGCCCCCAACAAGGACCAAAACCAAAGCTATTTTGGTCATCGATGGGAACGTGTCCCTCCACACTTCAACTCTGGTGGCATCACGTCGCCTCCGGAAGCTTGCTATATATATATATATATATATATATATATATATATATATATATATATATATATTGGAACGGCCTGCTTTTCAGAGCGCATGCTGGTCTGGTAAGAGGAAAAGGGCTGGGGGCCGTAAATACTGCAGATCTGAACGGCTAAATAGTCGTTCAGATCTGCCTTGTTGGGAGAGCAGAGAACGACTTCGATATGGAATTACTGTGCAGGTACATCATATCAGAGTATCGAAATATCCAGCCATGCGTTGCCACAAATGGACGTGTGAAGGCACTGTGTGCCTTTGCCGCACTAGGGCTTTATTTTCCTGGAGCTTGGAAGCCTAGGAAGGGAGTAGTTCGAAAAATACTGCGTTATAAGAGAGAAAGATGAGGTTCAAAGGAACACGTAGCTCTTTTGAGTTAAAAAAAATCAGAAAAAGAGAAGCTCGAGGGAATTGTGCGGTTTTGCTTTATATCTCGTAGGAGCGTTGACCTGGGCATCCCGTAGGCAATCCGAACACACTACCTCTCGCTTGTTTTCGTGGAACTTCAGATTCGTCTTTAAGTTTACTTAAACTCAAGAGATATGCAAACTCCATTTTTAATAATAGAAGGAAATCATGGTGTAATTAGGCGCAAAAAACAACGTACACAAGCGAGAAATCAGACATACAGGCGCCTCTCTTGTGTCCGTTGTTTCTGGCGCCCTACACCACGATCTCCAACGTTCACTAACTAGCCCAACTACAAGCTCTTCTAAAAAAAGAAATTTCGGGAGAGATTCTTTTTAAAAACATTTTTAAATATTTATTACTTAGTCAGCTTACATGGCCGTTTCTGCACGATATCGTTTATTATCCCTTTGTTAGAATAAAAAAAAATATATATTGTTACTGAAAATAACATGGCATGGAATGGTTGCTTTATTGTGGTATGAGAAATATGCTTACTTTATTGTAGTGTGAGAAATATACTCAGTTCCATTTGCGATCGTGTAATATGTAATATATATTTTATATCAGTGTTAGACAGGATACTCGACAAAAGTATTTAATAGAAGTTACTAAATGCTAGCCTCATGAAGTATTTAGAGTACTACTCAATATACTTTCCCTGCGAAATATCTTGAGTAGAGAACAAGTGCTTCGAGATGTAATTGCGTAGTTTGCGTCGACTTTCATGACACTAGAATGCTTCATTTGCAAACAACAAAAACAAAACTAAAATCGCAGTGCTACTCTTTGTATTGCAGCTCCAGTACGAGAAGTGGCATCACTAGTGCATGATACAGAATAAAAAAGTTTAAAGATAAATGAGTAAAATGCGAATGCTGAAATAGATGTTCCGGTGGATTTATATTGAGCACCTTGGACGCACCGCTGTTCTGAGCACCGCAGCTTTGTAAAGAAAAACCAGAATAGAAAAAAAAAAGTTTTACTGTTTGGGTAGATTGACATTCGAGGGCTTCGGGGACCCTGAGGAGACCTTCAGGGACCTCCCCAAAGGGTCCGCGAAACACCATTTTAGAACCACTGGTCTGGCCTCTAGGAACCTGTTCGAAAAGGCGTACAACTTTGGGAGGACTCTGTTTGCATTTTGGGAGCACATCCTGCTCGTAGCATGTTTTCTGTCTTATTGCAATTTTTGTCCCCATGAAAGAGTCAGTTCTTGCCATTGCAAAATCGTACTTAAAAAAAAAAAAAAAAAAAAAAAAAAAAAAGCTATTGTAGTTTTGGTTTTTGCGTTTTCTTATTTCTTTCCTGTTGTTCTTTCGTTTGCATTTCGAGTCTGCATCTTTGGTCCTGTCTTGTTTCCTGTTCAGTATTCGGCCGTTTCCGCTTCAAGTTTGCAATCGGCTCTAGTTTGCGCTTGTTTGTGCCGATAACTATTTCCGTAAAATATTCCCGTGACAAATTGTTTCAAAAGGTTGAAAAATATATTTGAGATAATGAACACAATATACCGAGAAGTGTAAGTAAGATAAAGTAGCAAATACTCCCGATGAAATGCATGTACAAGATTCCAAATTACTACGAAAAAAATAATTGAAATAAAGTACTTTTAGTAGAGTATTTCAGATAGATATAAGTTTGATTTTCATCAAACTACCTTTAGTAGCCGGAACACTCAGTCGCTTAGGTACCACTTTTCTATTTTTTTATTTATACACTTAACCAGTTTCACCAACAGTAGCTAGATCTGCTACTGGCTGAGAAACACCGATTTTGCTTCCTCATGTCAATACTCTCTCTCTCTCTCTCTAGTAGCTAGACGTATGAAGAAGTCGGAGCTATATGACCCCATTTTGGCTCCATAAAACTTACATCGTTTTATTTTCTCGAATAGAGATCCGTGCAACTTCGTAGTCCCGTTTAGTGCCAACAACTAATGCTGCATATTTTACTGACTTATACTCCGCCCCTTTCGCCATTTCACTTCACTCCACTCTTGTGGAATTGCTAGAAGTCGGACATGTCCAAAACAAGCCACTCGCTATGGCCGCACCTCTTTTGGTTTTGCTCTCTTTGTTTTGTTGCTTTCGCACCAAACCACGCATTGCGCCATTCAAAGAGGCCACCATTACTGGCTACCCTGTCACGAGTCGACAGAATAAACGGTGTTGTTCCAAATCCAACAGAAAAAAAATAAATAATAAGGAAAAGCTATTCGCCCAACAATAATGCAAACGAAAAAACAACAACAAAAAAGCGAATCAAAAACCAGTTTCGGGTTTGCCTTCTCTGCTCCGCGTTTCACCGTTTCACCCGTCGTCTGCTTCGCGAGTGGCTCCTCTCCGTCTGCGTTTGCGCCAACATCTTCCGTACAAAAACAAAAAAATATATATATAAATTTTAGTGTGTTGTCACGTGATTCTAGGAGCGACTCTAAGTAACCTTTTTTCTGCCTTCGCACGCATTAATCTTGTAAACGTCAAGTTGTTTTAATACGTAAAGAGTGACTCCTGAAAACTCTGGCGTGTCTGTTTTGGAGATGCGAACGTACCCTCGCCGGCGCCGCCTTTTCCGCCACCGCCGCGTGGTGTCGCGCACGTCGCCTGACGCGCGAGCGAGACGCGGGACGCGGCGGACGCCATTACGGCGCTGGCAACCCTGCGCGCAACGTTGTTGCACTTTGACATGTCAAAGCAAAGGGAACCGCCAATGAGCAGGTAGCTCTCAACGCTAGCCGCATCAACGTCGGGGCGACGACGCTTCCGTTGTTTTGGGAGGATTCAAAACCCCGCCGCCTTCATGAATCAGTTCCGCAAAGCCGACGGAGCGCTAGAGGGATTCGTCGACTGATAACCGCCGCGGTGTAGTTCGACGGCGTCCGGAGGAGCCTCCTGCGCGAGTGAATCACTGCTGCGGATACCCAGCCGGTGGATAGACGGAAGAAGCGACGGGCTCCACGACATTCTTTCAAACGCGCGCGCGTGCGCTTGTTTGTGTGTGTGAGTGAGTGACTTGTGTTTGGCTGGGCCAGCAGCTGAGCTCCCTGCGGGGTGCGCAAGGTGTTCTCTGGTGCGTTTCTGTCTGCAAGACAGCCTCGCCGCCGCCGTCCAGCGTCGGGGCTACGACGCCCGCAACGATCTCACGGGGACGATGGCGTGTAAATTATTGTGCAGCGTGTGGAGGATGCCTTCCCGGTGGCTAATATTCGGCCTCATCGTGTCGTCCTTATCGGGTGAGTCCTTCGATTGAGCGTCCCCGGCGGCGCTGTTGGGCGCGTGGTTGGGTGCACGTCGGGGAGGAGAGCGAAACGGACGAAACAGGAGTTAGGCCTAGCGCAGGTTTTCGGGTCCGTCCGGCCGTTGCGGCTCGGTCGCCGACGGGGACTTCGCTGGAGCGGACGCCCGCCTCCCCGTCCGCTCGCGTCGGACGCTCTGTGCCAAGCCAACTGGCTGTTCGCGCCGAAGCAGCTTGCGGCTTTTTTGTTTTCAAGGTGAAGCGCCCTGCTGCTCGCCTTTGTTTTCGTGTGTCGCCCTCTCCCATTTCCCCGCCCTAGTGGGGGCTCATTTGACTTTTATTTCCCCCGTGTTTACCCAAACGGCGTTGCTATTCCGGCTAACTGCGTTTAGGCAGCTGCTCCGGGATGAACGCTGCCGACGGTCAGGAAACATTTGTGTGGTGCGTTGCCTCTGCACCCGTCGCAACGTATTCCGTTTATCTCGTTGGCAATGTTTGCATTGTTTAGGTGTCGTTATCGTGCGCGCGCGCGCCTGTTATCTGCCGTGCATCCCAACCTCTTGCAGTACGGGTACTCGCTCGCTCCGCCAGTCAGATTCGACCTCCGTGACGGGCGCGAGCAGCGAGCGACCCGGCTCCTTTTGGGCGTTATTGCACGCCCAATCAGCCGGTGCATCTCCCGATTTTCGCTCGTGCTTCGTGTTTCGTTTCTTTGTTTCGCGGTGGTCGTGTTTGCTCGGGCAGAAGGAAAGGGTGGGAAAGCAGGTTCTAAAAATGTTTCTTGTTTTGTTGGTTTCCTACTTTTTCGTCTACGATTGAAGCTCGTGACCGAGACCTACTTTTCGAGAGACGTCGCGATGTCCGCTATTATTATTGCTTCAAAGCCGGGAGGCGAACGAGCAAAACGTTCGGAGAAGTTCGCAGCCAGCTCCTCGTTTGTTCTAATTCCCTCCGGTCGTGAACGCCGCCAAGCAGCCTCCTCTCCTTTCCAATCTATCGTTTCGGGCTTTGATTTGGGTTGCGGAGCCAGCCCGTGTCGTTTTTTTTTCGTGTTTTTGCTTCCTTTGTTCTATCTTAGGATTTCGAGTTTCCTTTTTCTGTGTTCCTTCTGGACACGATATAAGCGCTTTGCCGGTGTCTTCGTGCGCGAGTGGGTTGCACACGGCCGCGGCACCTTCTTGGCTTTCGGCGCCTCATCTTTGTGCGTTCTTGTCAAGAGCGGCGATTCAGCGCGCGGGAAGTTGCTACGCCAGTTGGTTTTCTTGTTTTGTTTGTGTGCGCCAACAACACGTATCGACCGTTTATTTTTGGGCGCGCGCACGAGTTCGATCGGGAGTTATGCTTTCTGCTCGTAGTGTTCCTCTTGTTCTTTTTGTTTTCCTCGTTCCGATATATAAATGAGGCCGTTGTCTTTCGCCGGTGAGTGAGGAAGGAAATGAAGCATCCTCGTCTGTACAACACTTCTGTTTTTGCCCTTTTAATTTTTTTATTTTATTTTGTTTCTATTTTTGCGCCATAGAATGCCGCTGCACGCACCCACACTGTGAAGAAGGGGTATTAGCTTTGTGGGAACTTTTCTGTTTATACCCGTTTAGTCGCGCAGCGCGGGCTGTACGTCTATTAATTTTCTTGTCTCTTTAAATTCGAACATCGTGGATGAACTCATTCTCGACTTCGCACGGTCCCCGCTTCGGGCCGGGTCAGTCACCATGGCGTCGGCAGAGGGGTGCAAAAGGGGCAGTTGCCACCCCCAGACAGACTGCCCCCCTTTCCCCTCGTCCTCCTCCGAGCAAGCGGGGTGACCGTTGGTTCGTTAACAAGCGAGAAAACAACCGAGACCAATCTAAAAATAAAATCGAGAGTAACTATCAAAACATAAAAAAAGGAGATGTCTTGCCCCGCATTCCGTAGAAGAAACAATTGCAAAGAAATGGGCAACTGAGCCCTACTTTTGCCTCTGCTCCCGTTGCCACCTCCAAACCTCGCTGGGAGCGCACCCGTTTCTGAGAACACCCAGTCCCCCGCAGTGAATACTCAGTGGTGATGAAGCCCAGACTCCAGCTCCGAGTAGAAAGTTGGTGAAACGGCCCAAAAAAACAAGTTCTCAACTTCCCTTCGGGCCCTTTCATTTTTGCGCAGTCTTAGATCCCCACTCATTTGCCCGTGGAAATATCCCCTCAATATCGTCGTGTGCTGGGTGCCGTGCGGACATCATAGGGTGGTTGGAAAAAGTTGTGACAAAGGGAAAGGAAAATAACGATATTATCTTCAAAATACCTAACGCACCTTGTTTTTCCAACTTCGCTAGCCTAGCTCCACGTGACATTTGAACGGTAATTTCTTCTGTGTTTTCTCCAACTCCGCACCCCAGGTGCTGAGGACGCGGGGGTTCAGGTTGCATTTGCAAAAGCCGCGCCGAGTGCCGCATAGCTGACAGGGCTCTCCAGTCTGGGTAATAAGCCACGTGTTTTCGAGACTATTCACTGAAGAGCAAGCCATGAGCGACTCTGAATATGACCTTTTGAGCAGGTTAGGGGGAGGGGTCAGACGGTCCGCGTTTGCACGAAACCATGTTCGCACCAAGTCGCCAACGCAACTGACCCTCGGGCCATAATTTACTGTCACCGTTTGACACCAGGGAAAGGTGCGACAGAGACCGCCCAGTCCACAATTGCAACCGTACAGTTGTTCTTTCCGAAAGTGTGTAGCGACCGTCACTATTTTGCCAGCTCTGGATTTCTCCATCGGTGTCTTCGTTTTACCGAAAAAATTACATCGATCACAGCTTTCCATTTTATGGGACGAAGAAAGCAGGCACCTCTGACCCCTGCCGGGAGTCGGAGTCGGATTCTATTGAGACAATCCTTATCCCAGTCACTCCTAAGCGACCTTTGCCTTCCAAAATTCAGCTTAATATAGGATTCACCCTCAACTCATCTGTTACAGGTACGCCTAGAGTGATTTTCAGACAAAACTAAAGTTGCCCAGATAAATACAAGACCCACCCAAAGATAGCAAACAGCGCTCTAACGTCGTTTTTTTTTGTTTGTTTTTTTAATTCTCAATAAAACTGAAAGAGCCTCATTTATTTCTGTAAATTTTCTTACCTGTAGTTTTCAGTTGAGGTGACGAAGGAGAGACTTATTGAAGAAAAATATATAAATAAATAGCTACATTTAAAAAAAAAAGGCTCACCAAAAACGTTAGTGATACCAGGCACCCGAAAACAGATTATAATCGGGGATCTGCATTTGTGGACTTTGTATTTGGGTGAAATGATGTGAAGTAGTGAATATAAGTGAAATGATGGATTTTTTCAAAGTTGTGTAGCTTCTAAGCTCGCACACTCCTTTTGGTGTTATCTGGCTTTCTATCTCTTCATATTTTGAGTATTATGAAAAGACTGACTGTTCATCGGGGAAACTAAAATGTCGTGAAGGAAGTGTAGTTCGTCGATGTGATCTTTGAACTGGATTTTATTTGAAGACTGGAAACATTGTAGACAAGCTTCCTTGCTTGCATATTTCTTCGTGTTTTGAAAGTATATGAATGGGCATCCAAGAATATATTTTTAGTTTCCTACTGAGTTGCCGTGTTGCAGAATCTGATAAATTAATAAATGGCCGGTGGTCCCTTCGTCAGCGATAACACGTTGGTCCTGATATGTTCATGGCCCGTTCACTATTCACAAGCGTTTTACGTCGGGGCTGCAGGAATTAAATGTGTGTGGGGGGGGGGGGGGGGGGGGGGGGGCTTTTTACATAAGCGATTAGGACTGCGAACTAAACATTGTTTAAGCCAACATTTGTTTTAAAGATTTATACCTATAATATGTTGTTAAATTGTTCCGGAAATGTAATGGTTGCACCCGCCCCCCTCCAGGTTAAAAAAAAAGGAACGTCTGATGCGAAAGTTTTGCCCCCACCAAAAAAAAAATCCCGCCGACGCCCATGTGAGTCACTGATAATTTGAGACGCGAAGATAACTGTTGACACGTTTTTTGGTTGCATATAATAAAGTATATCTTATGCATCATGCTCTTGATGTCTGGAAAAATGCTCGCGATGTTATGTGGTAGTGTTTTTGTATTATCTAGGTTGCAAGAATTCTAAAGCAGACGGGATGTAGCTATACCCTATTGGAAAGACCAGTTTGCAAATCTAACTGGTCAGACGGGTAAAACTGGTATTTGGACTGGTCAACTGGTCTAGCAGGAAATCAAACTGGTGCAACTGGTAGCCAGACTGGTCTAACTGGTAACCATAGTGATCTAACTGGTCACCAGATTGGCCTGACTGGTCACCATATTAGCCTTACTGGTCACCAGATTGGCCGAACTGGTCACCAGATTGGCCGAACTGGTCACCAGATTGGACAAACTGGTCACCAGACTGGCTGAACTGGTCACCAGACTGGCCGAACTGGTCAGCGGATTGGCCGAACTGGTAACCAGATTGACCAAACTGGTTACCAGTTTACCCCTCTTTCTCCCTTTATCTATTGGCTTTCTCACTTTAATTTATTGGCTTTCAAATAATTACGGCATGATCGAGCGTTTACTTTTTATTAAGAGATTAATCCCCTGAGCCGTTTAAAATACTCTCAGAGGTATGACATTGCTGGAAAAAAGTCAACATGCTCGGAATAATTTTTATTGCTTAGGCGGTCACCGAGAAATTCTGTACGTTCAAAACGACCTGTATAAAAGACGGAAACGCAGAGCTCGGTAGTAGTGATCATGTGAGTGCGCTGTTGTGCTTATGTTTATATGTACCGTGTATGTTTATGCGCACAATGTATGTTCAGCTGATGGTTGTAGTAGGCGTATTGTGTCAGCATTTGTTGAGTTTAATAAAGATTTTCGAAGCGCAGTGGTGGAACAAATTAAAATATTTTTTGTAGAACCAGTGGGACCAGTTTAACCACCATGACCAGTTGAACCATCATGACCAGTCAACCAGTATCACCCGTCCAACCGCCATGACCAGTCAACCAGTG